AGAAATGTGAACATGGGCAGGTTATTTATTGTCTCTGTGTTCTAGTTCCCTCATCTGTAATATGGGTATAATAGCAGTAACTAATTCACTGGGTTGCTAGTAATGATTAAATGAGTATCTTCAAAGTAATATTTAAAGCAGTGCGTAGAATATAGAAATTGTTTTAAGTTGGCTAAATAAATTATACTGAGAGAAAACAAAGAAAACCACTAAATTTTTTTAAAATTTGTAAATCATCAGTGATTTGGTAGGCATCACCTTTTAAGAATCTTGGAACACTGCAAAGGGAGAGATCCCTTCTGTTTATCAATTCTCTATTTAATAAACATTTGGCTCCAAGCATTGTTCTAGGGGTTGGGGCACCAAAATCAACAAAACACTGCCTTGCCCTTGAAAAGCTAACTTTCTAGTGGAGGACAGAGATTATTACAGTGCAATGTGGTGAGTACAATTGTAGAGGCAGGTACTAAGTGTTCTAGGAGCATTTGGCCTGGGGTAGTGGCCATCAGGGGTCCTAACTTGGAAATTATCAAAATACTGATAAAATCATATCTTAAGCTATTCTTGTGAGTTGTCATTATTATTAAAGTCCACACTAAATGACTACCTACACAAATAGTAGAAAAATGTACCTTTAGAAACAACTTCAAAGTTTATAAATAAACCATAAAGTGCTTTTTAAATTTATGGTATTATACTATGGTATTATGAATATCAAACAAAACACTCTTGAGCACAGTCTAAGAAAGGCTGGGTGCTAGTTACAGGAGAGACTCCAAAAATTCTATTCCTATCCTCCTGTTAAGTGGGAAGTCAGGGCGTAACCAAAAAATTAAAAAACAATCTAAGAGTTTAGTAACAATTAGGGCAACAACAATTTGAAATGTAAAAAATCATGTTAATTAACCACCATGAGAAAGGAAGTCAACCAATGATCCCAACAAATCCCGGGGATATCCAAGACAAAAGACAAAGTTAATATATTTCTTATAGCTGTGTATGTATGTGTATACACATAGAGATATACCTCCCAGAACACTTGGGGATAGGAAAAAAAGGTTTTTTTATTTCCACATATACAGTTCATCCTGATTTATAAAACATATGTAGAAAAAGTTCATGTGAACTATTTCATTAATTAAATCATATTATTGAGAGAATGTGTTAAAGTAAATCCTATTATGAACCCTTCTTTAAAACCATCACTTACTGCCCTCATAAGTGTGGCTCAGATAGCTGGCCATCACCAGAAAAGCTAACGGTCACCCATTTGATTCCTGGTCAGGGCACATGTCCTAGGTTGTGGATTCCATCCACTCCCCTCTGGTAGAGGCGCTTAGGAGAAGCAACTGATCATATTTCTCTCCCTCCCTTTCTCCCTTCCATCCCCTTTCTCAAATAAATAAATAAATATAGATAATTTTTTTTAGAAATCATCTACCAAGTGTCAGTTAATTAGTTGGGAAATAAATTTAACTTTATATTACATGTATGAGATTTATTTCCATTGGGCTTAATTAAAATGAGGATCACCTCTAAATGTAATTAACAACATTTCATTATCGAATTCATTTACTGACTTAATCATTTTGAAATGAGAACAGAGTAATGTTTTTTAAAAAACTGATACTTTTTTTTTTTAATCCTACCCAAGGATATTTTCATTTACTTTTTCCCATCCAACTACTAACCAAGCCTGACCCTGCTTAGCTTCCAAGATCAGACGAAATCAGACACATTCAGAGTGGTATGGCTGTAGACTTCATTTACTTTTTTAGCGAAAGAAGGGAAGGGAGAGAAGAGAGAGAGAGAGAGATATTGATGGGAGAGAAGCATCGACTGGGTGCCTTCATATGCACTCAAACCGAGAATCCACGCAGAGATCAGGGATCAACAGCAACCTAGGTATGTGCCCTGACCAGAATCGAAAACACAACCTTTCAGTTACAGGACAGTACTTCAACCACTGAGCCACACTGGCCAAGGTAAAACTTGTAATTCTTGAACTTCACACAGTGGTAGAATTAGGACAATTTAGACCTTTTGACTCTCAATCCAGTGCTCCTTCCATTACACCAAAAAATGGACAGTTTTCTCAAAATACTTTTTAGAAAATGCACTCTTCCTTTATTATATTTATGGCTATTCCTGTGCAACAAATATTAGCTAAGAAAAACTTAAATACACTCCTTGAGTGAGAATACATGAAAAAAGCATTAAATGTTTTCCATTCTTCTCAAGACAGGTTTTTTCTTTTCAACACATAACAGGAGATGCCTTAAGTTCATAATTAAAAATCTTAAAAACCACAAAATCAGACTCTGATTAATGCATATAGTTGCACAGAATACTTTACAAAATCCTGCAATTTTATTTCTATCTATAGACCAACAAACAATTGTTAACACTAAAATTCAAAAGTTAGCTTTACAAGAATCAGCAATAGATGCAACAACTACTACACGAGAGCTTAATGGAGAAAAGGCCAGCACTACCGTGCTAATTTATCATGCCACACATTACATGCTAATTGCAGCAGAAAAAAAAAATACATGACCTCCATAAACAAGTGATCAAACTCAGCATCACAAATAACAGGGCGGAATATGTCTCCTGATGGGAAGCAATATGAAGTACACAGTATCACTTAGAAGTTATTCTTGCCCAAAAAGATTTAATTTGAAACTAATCAACCCTTTAAACCTAGCTTACAGTTAGTTAACAAAAGGGAAATAGAGGAACACTTTAAATGACACCATGAGGGGGAAAGAAAAATCAGAAAAATCAAGAGTGTGATTCACTGTATAAGACAACTAGCTTGATCACTTTAAAAACTCGTATTTTTCAAGGGAAGATGTGAGGCTGTTCTAAATTAGAATAGATCTGAGACTTAACCACCAAATGCAGTGAATAAACCCTTACTGGGATCCTGGTTTGGTGGAATTGAGTGTAAAAAGCCAAAAAAGACTTTCAATACAAATGGGGAGATTTAAATATGGATGAATATTAAATTATATTCAGGAATTAGCAATAATAAACTATTACCTAATTACCAATAATAAAATATTAACTAAGAAAATCAACAATAATAATATTTTGGATATGTAAGAAAATGTCCTTATTTTTGGAGAGGCATGCTGACATATTTAGGCATGATGTATCATAATGTCTACAGCTCAGTTTTAAATGAGTCAGCCAAAAATAATATACATATTTATAAAGGAAATATGGCAAGATATTGACAAATGTTGACTCTAGAGGGTCATCATATGGATGATCACTAATACCAATTTTCTGTATGCCTGCAACTGCTTCATAATAAAAGGAGGGAGTGGGCAGAGAGCACCAATTTTACAAGGGAAAAATACAACAACCTGAAACCAAAGTTGTGGGAACTGTCAAGCACCAAACATGACTTCATTTTTAGCATGTGTTATAATTCATCCCTTTAGTAGCAATAAGCTTAACTAGGCATGAAAGCTCCACCTAAAACACTGTTTAACAGATTGAATCTATAATGTACCTGGTAATCCCATTATTTGAGCTAAACCTTTAACAGCAAGTAATCTCAAAAGAGACACATGACTAGATAACTATTCTTTAATGGTATCACATTCAACATAATTCAACAAGGCTCAACATGTCCATATTTTTATCAAACAAGTCAATCTGTGAACCATACACTTGTTAACTCTATAGTTTGGTATTTTCTCTAATAACATTACAAAAACATTCAACTACAAATTTTCTTAAACCTAGTAATATACTAGAGAAAATTGTACAGTTCTATAATTGTGCATCAGTAGATGTTTTAAACGTTTGCAATTATGCATAAGGCTTCAATGACTCAAAGAAATTTATCAACACTTTCCTCTATAAAAAAAAAAAAAGGAAAGACTCTACTTTTTCACTAACCACAATCAAAGAAATAGCACAGGCCAATGCTAAAATAAGAATTGGCAGTTTGTTTTTAAATATTGATCAGTGGCTACACAGAAATGAAAGGGAAAAAATCATACCATTAAAATACAACTTTCTACAATATTCTACACTAAAAATTTTTGACACTCAACTCAGAAATATTGCATAAGACAATGCACAAATTACTAAGTGTAGTGCCATTGCCACATAATCCAGCAAATTTTGTAATAAGGAAATATCACGCACATAACCCAACTGCAAGTTCCCTGTATGCATCAAGAATAAACTGCACAAGCAAAATTAAACTTTTCAGGAAATATACAGCTTTTCCAAATATCTCTCTTAAGAGAGGAAATTTCTCTTCAGTCCCACTGCAGAAAAGATAAAAGTATCGAAGCCATCTTTTAAAATAACACTTTTTTTTTAAACCAAGAGAATGATCTGGCTAGGCTGCAACAAAACACATCAGTTTATGTTAGGGACAGGTAAACTACATCTATCTATATATTTAGAATTTACTCCCAGAAAGAAACACTCCAGCTATTCTTTTTTTCTTAAATATTTTGAAAGACGCAGAAATACATATCTACAGAAGAGACATCATATTCGAATCAAGACTCCGCCGATTACCAGGGGCATGACCTCGGTCAAATTCCTGGACCGGACATTCAGTATGTTCATCTGTAAAATGGGCAACACGCATCCACCTCACTGGGATGAAAAGATGAAGTTAGACAATACAACTCCCTGGCGCACAGGAGGTGCTAAGTGCTAGATAAATACTCGGTAAAGAGAGGAGGTGGAATCAACCCTGATCAATAGATTACCATAACGAGACAGTGTAAAGATAAGCACTTTTTCGCTTATTGCACGTTAACATTTTTGCTTCTCCCAGGGACCAGATGCAATCTTCCAACATCCCTGCAAAGTACGTGTCCACAGCTACACAACCCAGCAGTCTGAGCGCGCGCGCGCGCGCACACACACACTCTCTCACACACACTCACACACACACTCACACACACACACACACTCACACACACACACACAACCATGCGCGCGCGCGCGCAGGCACGTACCGGCCGTTCCGCGGGGACGTGGGAAGCCGCAGGCCCGAAAAGTGGCCCCGCCGGCCTCTTAGCCCACCACTCCGTCCCACGCGGCCTGTCACCGCGCCCCCCGTTGGGGGGAGGCCGTGGGCCCCAGGGGCCGGAGGGGCGCACGAGGAGTCGGGCGCGGGCCGGGGGGCCAGACCCGTCCCTCCTTCAAGTGGAGACCCGGCCGAACCGGGTGGCAGGCGCGCAGTCTGTAGCGGGAGGCCGGGGTCACTCGGTGCCCCTCGGGCCCGGGAGAAGCTGGACAAGAAAAGAGGAAGCCGAGAGCAGGGCGCCTCCAGATGCCGGAGAAGGGATGGGAGTTGGGGACTCCTGGGCTGACGGTGCCGGACCTGCGGGTTGTCGTCCTCGCCGTCCCCTCGCGAGCCGGGCGACCCCCGAAGGCCTCACCCAATTGCAGCACCGCCCTAGTCAGGCGCTGCCGCGGAGGGCAGCCCGGCCGCCACTACTCACGGACCCGTGACGTCGCGCGTAGCGCGGCGAACGTCACGGCCGGCTGACTCGTGCGCGCGCAGCCCCCCTCCTGCCCAGAGCAACCGGCCGCGGGCGCGCACCAAGCCTAGAGGGCCAAAGCAAGCAGGGGAGCAGGCCCGCGCCTGCGCACGCCTGTTGTCCCACCCCCTAGGCAGGGCTGAGATTCCCAGCCAGAACACAGGTCCTACCGCAGGCCCTCGTCTGTCGTTCCCAGCAGCTTTTTCTGGCGGGGAGTGCGCGCGCGCACTCACAGCCTCAGCTAGGTCCGGTAGCGCCTGCGGAATTGCTCCACGCCCAGACTTAAAAGCAAATCTCGAAAAGGGTCCCGCGTGGGTTGCGGTCCTGGCCAGGAGCTAAGCAGCATGGAGTTCTTGCGACCGACTCCGAGTTCATGGCAGGCCGTTTGCAGGGGAAGAGTCACCTGCCCTTAATGCTGGTTCTGGCTTCAGAATTTTTTTCTGAAGGGCTTTTTTTAATTTTTTTTCAATTTAAAAAAAATGTTTTATTTCTTTATTGTATTTTTTCATTACCATTTAGGCCCCTTATATCCGTATTCCCACCCCCAGCAATCACCACACTGTTGTCCATGACCCTGAGTCCTTTTTTCTTTTTGCCCAATCCCGCCAACCCCTGCCCTTCTCATCCCCATTAGCTGTTACCCTGCTATGGGTCTGTCTCTATTTTGCTTGTCACTTCAGTTTGTTCATTAGGTTCCACATATGAGTGAAATCATGTAGTATTTGTCCTTCTCTGACTGGCTTATTTTACTTAACCATAGTGTTCTCCAGGTCTATCCATATTGTCAAAAAGGGTGAATCTTTCTTTTTTACAGCCCAATAAGATTCTGTTGTGTAAATGTCCTGTAGTTGTTTTATCCACTCATCTATTGATGGACACTTGGGCTGCTTCCATATCTTGACAACTGTAAAAAATGCTGCAGTGAACATATGAGTGCTTATGTTCTTTTGAATTAGTTGCCTTGGAGTCCTTCTGATATAGTAACATGTTGGGAACCGTGTCGCCTGGTTTAGGGGCTGTATCTTTGCTGACAGGCGAGAGGGCATGGAGCTGAGCAAGAAGGCCTTGGGAAGATAGGCCACTGAGGAAACAAAACCAGTCCCCCTGGCAAAGGCGCAGCCCCTGCCTCCCTCACATCACCCTGCTTGGCCCTGGAGGATGGCTGATTGGTCAATGACGGGTGAGACCTCTTGATGCCAGGGGCAACCTAAAACAGGCACAGTCACATAGAGGCCATCAGGGAAGAACTTGGGGGACATGGAGAAGGGACAAAACCCCCTCACCCCTCAGCTTTGTCGTGGCCAGAGTCCTCATTCTGTCTGAAAGAAGTCTCCTTATCTCTTAGCTGCTCTGCTCCACCCACCTGGCTCAGGCTTGAAACAATGCCAAAAGCAGATACAGCCCTAAACTGCATCAGGCGGTTCCCAGGGACAATTAGGCCTGGAAAAGGAATGCATTAAATCCTATGAAACTTACTTTGCTAAAATTGCCCCGGAGTTACCAAGTACTGATGTTTAGGATCCAAGCATAGAATGTGATCAGTTTCCCAGGTTCAGGGCCAAATGGGCGTGCCACCCTGTCTACCAGACCCTGACCTGAGGCAAATCTTTGTGTTCCTTCAATTGTTATCTATGATCTCTATTTGTTTTCTGTAAACATAGCTTTTTGACATTGATTGATGAGCTTTGCATGCATGCTGTATACCCCTGCGCATATCATTCTCAATAAAAGCCACTTCAAGAGAGAGGCTTAGGGCACTCTCCACTAGAAGGAATCCTCATCCCCTATTCCTGGCAGACCAAGAAGTGTCTGGAATGACTTACTTTATTTTCCTCCATCTTCAGCAACCCAGGGGACTCTGCACAGGTCATGGTACCCCCCTCATCTGGCACCCAAACAGGGACCCTCATCATCTGACTCCCGACCTGGGGCCCCCTCTCAGTACTAGAAGTGGGATTGCTGGGTCAAAAGGTAGATCAATTTTTAATTTTTTGAGGTATCTCCATACTGCTTTCCACAGTGGTTACAACAATCTGCATACCCACCAACAGTGCAGAAATATTCCCCTTTTTCCCCATCCTCACCAGCACTTGTTGTTTGATTTATTGATGATAGCCATTCGGACAAGTATGAGATGGTACCTCATTGTGGTTTTAATTTGCATTTCTCTGATGATTAGTGATGTTGAGCATCCTTTCATTTCTCTATTGGCCATTAGTATGTCCTCTCTGGAGAAGTGGCAAATCAGGTCCTTTGCCCGTTTTTAAATTGGGCTGTTTGGTTTTTTTGGTGTTGAGTTTTGTAAGTTCTTTATAAATTTTGGGTATTAACCACTTATCAGATGTATCAATGAATATGTTCTCCCATTCTGTGGGTTGTCCTTCTGTTTTGCTGATGTTTTCCTTGCTGTGCAAAAACTTTTTAGTTTGATGTAGTCTCATTTGTTTAGTTTTTCTTTTGTTTCCCTTGCCCAGGGAGATATAGCTGATAAAATATTGCTACTAGCTATATCTGAGATTTTGCTGCCTATGCTTTCTTCCAGGATTTTATGGTTTGGGGTCTAACATTTAAGTCTTTGATCCATTTTAAATTTATTCTTGGCTGTGGTGTAAGAAGGTGGTCTAGTTTCATTTTTCTGCACATATCTGTCCAATTTTCCCAACACCATTTATTAAATAAAGTCTCTTTAGCCCATTGAATGTGCTTGTTCCTCTGTCCAATATTAATTGACCATAAAGGTGAGGGTTTATTTCTAGGCGCTCTCTTCTGTTCTATTGATCTATGTGTCTGTTTTTATGCCAGTGCCATAAAATGATACTGTTTTGAACAGTATGACCTGATAGTATAGTTTGATATTAGGTAGCATGATTCCTCCAACTTTGTTCTTCTTTCTTAGGATCACTGTTGCTATGTGGCGCTTTTTGGCTCTATATAAATTTTTGAAATATTTTTTCTAGTTCTCTGAAATACATCATCAGGATCTTGACAGGAACTGAATTGAATCTATAGATTGCTTTGGGTAGTATGGACATTTTAATGATGTTACTTCGTCCTATCCATGAACACGGTAGGTGCTTCCACTTCTTGGTATCTTCTTCAAATTCTTCCTTCTGTGTCTTACAATTTTCTGGTACAGGTCTTTTACATCCTTGGTTATTTCATCCTTCTTGAAGCAATTGTAAACAGGACTGTTTTTCTTTTAATTTCTGTTTCTGTTATTAGCATATAAAAGCAATTGAAAGTGGGATTGTTTCTTTAATTTCCCTTTCTGTTATTGGCATATAGAAATGCAACTGATTTCTGAATATTAATTTTGTATTTTGCTACTTTACTGAATTCATTTATCAGTTCTAATAGTTTCTTGGTGAAATCTTTGGGATTCTGTATGTACAGTATCATGTCATCTTCAAATAAAGACAGTTATACTTCTTTCTAATTTGGATGCCTTTTATTTCTTCTTGTCTGATTGCTGTGGCTAGGACTTCTAATACTATGTCAAATAAGAGAGGTGAAAGTGGGCATTACTGCCTTGCTCCCAATCTTAAGGGAAAACTTGTAGTTTTTGCCCATTGAGTATGATGCTAGCTGTGGGTTTGTCATATGGCCTTTATTATGTTTAGGTATATCCCCTCTATTCCCACTTTCCTGAGAGTATTTTTATCATAAATGGATGCTTGATTTTATCGAATGCTTTTTCTGCATTTATTGATATGATCATGTGGTTTTTGTACTTCTCTTTGATTATGTGGTGATTCACATTTTTTCATTTCTAATGTTGTACCAATCTTGCACTCCAAGAGTAAATCACACTTAATCGTGGCATATGATCGTTTAGATTAATTACTCGCTTTATTAATATTTTGTTGAGGATTTTAGCATCTATAATTCATCAGGTATATTGGTCTGTAATTTTCTTTCTTTGTAGTGTCCATATCTGATTTTGGAATTAGGATAATGCTGGCCTCATAAAACGTGTTTGGGAGTGTTCTCTCCTCTTGAATTGTTTGAAATAGTTTGAGAAGCAGAGGTATTAGTTCTCCTAAAATTTTTGGTAAAATTCACCTTTGAAGCCATCCTGTCCAGGGCTTTTGTTTGTTGGGAGTTTTTTTTTAGTACAGCCTCAATTTCACTAGATGTAATATATCCATTCAGGTTTTCTGATTCTTTCTGATTTAGTTTTGGAAGATTGTACATTTTCAGAAGTTTATCAGTTTCATCCAGGTTGTCCAGTTTGTTGGCATAGAGTTGTTCATAATATTTTCTTACAATCCTTTGTATAGTTTTTGTGTCGGTTGTTATTTCTCCTTTTTCATTTCTGATTTTATTTATTTGAGTCCTTTCTCTTTTTTGCTTGATGAATCTGGTTAAAGGTTTGTCTCTCTTGTTTATTTTCTCAAAGACCCAGCCCTTGGATTCATTGATCTTTTGTACCTTCTTTATTTTTTAGACTCTATTTCATTTATCTCTGCTCGGATCTTTATTATTTCCTTCCTTCTTCTCACTTTGGGTTTTGTTTGTTGTTCTTTTTCAAGTTCTTTAAGTGTGAAATTTGATCATTTATTTGAGCTTTTTCTTGTTTTTTGAGATAGGCCTGTAGTACTATGAATATCCCTCTTAAGGTTGCTTTCCCTGTATCTCACAGATTTTGGATTGTTGTGCCCCCGTTTTCATTTGTTTCAAGGTATCTTTTGATTTCTTCCTTGACCTCGTTGTTCCCATTCTTGTTTAATAACATTATTTAGCTCCCATGCCTTTGTGTGTTTTTCAGTGTTCATCTTGTGATTGTTTTCTTGCTTCATTGTATTGTGGTCAGAGAAAATGCTTCATATGATTTCAGTCTTCTTAAATTTATTAAGACTTGCTTTGTTTCCTAACATGTGGTCTATCCTAGAAAACATTCCATAGCACTTGAAAAGTTTGTATATTCTGCTGCTTTGGGGTTAAATGCTCTGAAAGTATCAATTAAATCCTTTTGGTTTGGTGTGTCATTTAAGGCT